TCTCTTATTTTTTTGTTCTCGAGACCATCTCTCTGCGTTTTGAGCCTTAAGCTAATTACCTAGCGTAATCCCAGACATAGGTTATAGTTATAGAGTTACCCCTCCTCATCATTACGGACATGACCCCAAAGTGAACTGACCACTGACGAAAGGAAGTGTACTAAAAATCATTATTGAGTTCAGATCGTAATTGAATAATAATGTCTCCCCTGGCCTGCTGGGTATTTCTCAGACAAACCTCGGATTTCACTGTGGTGTTTTCATCGGGATTGCGCCTGTAAATTCGGCTTTCCTGTGAGCTGCATATGCATGCACAGGGAATCAGATGGTTGGCGCAATATGGGCATATGCTGCGGCAGGACGTCGTCGAGGGATGACAGGTGGTTGCCGGGGTATTTGCATAATTATGGATGTACCGAATACACTGGTAGCGAGTCATAAAACCGAGTTTCAGACGCTAGGAGCTTCTGCCAGGAGAGACACTAACAGTGAATCTGCCTGTCGACACTGCAGACAACAAGACAACACTTTACTTTTACTCTGCCTGAAGCTGAGCAATGGAGGAAATCTGCTCTGTCAGGGAAACTGAAGGTCTTCGGGGGGTGTTTAGTTTTGCCTGCAGGTTTAAGATGGTTCTGTAGGAGGCTGATTTACACTGGACTGCTTTTAGATTTAGCTTGGTATTCATAAAATGGAGCACTTCTATGAAACGTACTGCTGTGGAATAATAATAATAATAATAATAATAATAATAATAATAATAATAATAATAATAATAATAACAATAATAATAATAATAATAATAATAATACCAATAATAATAATAATAATAATAACAATAATAGAAATAAAAAATTTAATAATGATAATAATAATAATAATAGTTATTATTATTATTTATAGTATAATATTAATAATAATAATAATAATAATAATAGTAATAATAATAACAATAATAAAAATATTAATTTTAATAATAATAATAATAATAATAATAATAATAATAATAATAATAACAATAATAAAAATATAAATTTTAATAATAATAATAATTATTATTATTTTTTTTTTATTATAGGAATAATAATAATAATAATAATAATAATAATAATAATAATAATAAAATATTAATTTTAATAATAATAATAATAATAATAATAATAATAATAATACATAGGGGACCACTTAACAATTCTCTGGATTTAGTGGATTAGTTATTGGTTATATCAAAATCATTAATATTGGTTTTATTTTATAAAGGCTTAAGTATGGTAGCAAAGTTCTTTTGATTATTACCTTAGATTGATAGTGTAGTTCCTATATATATCGGCCTAAAATAACTTTTCATTTTCTTTTGGTCTTAGTACAAGATCTAACTATAGAAGTGTCAAGCTTTAAATAGCTGAATTGCTGAATGGATTAAAAATGGTAAAACTCAACTCTTTAACTGAACATAAAGTGGACTGTTCCTTTAAAACACTCACAGACACACACACAAAGTGCATAATCTTGTCTAGCTTGTCTAGCATTTTCCGGTTCCCTTGTTTCTCCTCTGTGGCATTATATTGTTTTTTAACTTGGGACTCTCCCATGTTTTGGGATTTTATACTACCTGTGTGTTTGTATCATTTTTAAACTAGCCTTGTTTCCCTTGTTTGCTCCAGTTTCGACCCCTGCCTGTCTAGACTATTCTTATTTTTAAACTTGCCATGAAACAGAAGTTAAGATTGTCCGTTTTTCTTCTATTCTGATGCACATACACATGAAATGATTTAGAAATCTGATAAAAGACGGGGGGTGGGGGGGTGTATGATTTCATTTTTGGGGAATTGATTGAAAGGAAGATAGTTGTTGCTAACCAACTGAAAAAAAGATAGCTCCGCCCTAAAGCTGATAGTCCCGCCTTAAAACACTGATTGCCTCGTCCTAAAGGACTTATAGTTCCACCCTAAAGGACTAATAGTCCCTCCCTAAAGGATGTATTGCTCCGCCCTAAAGGACTGATAGTCCCACCCTAAAGGACTGATTGCTCCACCCTAAAGGACTGATAGTTCCACCCTAATGGACTGATAGTCCCACCCTAAATTACTGATTGCCCCATCCTAAAGAACTGATAGTCCCACCCTAAAGGACTAATTGCCCCGCCCTAAAACACTGATTGCACTGCCCTAACTGACTGATTGCCCCACCCTAACAGACTGATAGTATCGCTGTAAAGAACTGATTGCCCCGCCCTAAAGAACTAATAGTCCCGCCCTTTAAGACTGATTGCCCCACTCTAAAGAACTAATAGTCCCGCCCTTTAAGAATGATTGCCCCGCCCTAAAGAACTAATAGTCCCGCCCTTTAAGACTGATTGCCCCCCCCCCTAAAGGACGGATTGTCCTGCCCTAAAGGACTGATTGCCCCGCCCTAAAGGACTGATTGCCCCACACTTAAGGTCTGATAGTCCTTTCCTAATACTTCCACATTATTCCATGTGATCAGAAGTAATAATTAATTAAGATATAAGCAATCATTTAATTGTTCAAGTTTAACAGGAGATGAATTATTATTTAAACGCAATCGCCGTCAGGAGCAGAAACTCCATTGAAAACATTGTGGACATGGAAAGACATAGTGTGGAACAGCTAAATGAGGTGCTTTTGTCGCTCTTAGTCCTACTTTATATTGTACATCATATCAATCAGGCAGTTAAGATCAATAATTTTTAAAGAAAGCAGAACTTAATGCACGATTTTATAATGGCATGAAAGTTCGTTCATGTATATGCCTACTTTTTCTCAAACATACAACATCATACACTCTCAGAAATAAAGGTACGTAAGCTGCCACTGGGGTGGTACCTTTTCAAAAGGTACACATTTGTACCTAAAAGGTCCATATTATTAACTCGAGGGTACATATTAGTACCTAAAAAGTACAAAAGTGCTCCTCTTAAAAGTTTTAGGTACTAATATATACCCTTGAGGTATTAATATGGGTCTTTTAGGTACAAATGTGTACCTTTCGAAAAGGTACCACCCCAGTGACATACATACATGCTGCTTGCATTATATTGTAGCACAGTGCGCAATACACTGTCATGAAACTTTAGCCTAAACTATCAACAGCATAAATGTAAGGGCCAGCCAACACATCTCCAGTGCCCTCAAACTCCCTCAGACCCCATAGTGTTAAATATAAATAGGCTGTTCCCAAAAAAGCATGCTTATAAAGTGGTCTACCTGGTACCCAATCAGAGAATCCTGAAATCCAGCCAGGAATAGTGCAGCAGTATCTGACTAATCCCCACACCTGCCCTGCAGTTCAAAGCCATTAGAGGCGAACATCAGCCTCTGTCTCCACTCTCCGTCTCTCTCTAAAGCCTGAGCCGCGCGCCAGTGTCAGCGAACAAGCCCAGCTAAATGGCCCTATTGCCACTGCCTTTCTTCACAAGTCTCAGAGGAACTGGCTTTGTGTCTGACAGAAATGTTCTACTGGGTCCCTGTCACACTTTTTGTCAGGCCTTTCAGTAGGAAATGGAGGAAACCGAGCCAGTGTCGCTGTTTTTTTATCCCTAGACAAGCCACAGTGAAGATGCTGCAGTTTTTGGAGTGTGATTCAATTCAGTTCAATCCAAGTTTGTTTGTTTAGTGCTGTTCATACTTGTTTTTTTTCCAAAGCAGCTTTGCAAAAGGTGTCTGTTATTAGATTACACTCAAAATCTGAAAAGTTGAGTATAGGAAGGTCAGTATTTATACGTAGTTATTACGTATGCGGTGTCTGAAATACTTGATTCTGATGAGGTAGTAGTTAGATTCCAAGGTATGTTATTCCCAGATAACAATCACTAAATAACGCAGCCTCATCCAGGAACTTCAGGTCTCCTTGAATGTCAGTAAATATGCTCACATCCATATACTTACATCCACATTCACATGTATCTGCTTGTTTGTTACATTTGACTCAATAATGAAAAAGTTAGTGTATGCTCCATTCAGCTGTTTTCGTTTTCTGTCAGCTTTGCTTTTTTGACGATTTGGCGCCATCTTGTGGCTAAATAATGAACAAGTTAGTGTATACTCCATTCAGCTGTTTTTGTTTCTGTCAGCTTTGCTTTTTTGACTGTTTGGCGCCATCTTGTGGCTAAATAATGAACAAGTTAGTGTATACTCCATTCAGCTGTTTTCGTTTTCTGTTAGCTTTGCTTTTTTGACAGTTTGGCGCCATCTTGTGACTCAATAATGAACAAGTTAGTGTATGCTCCATTTAGCTGTTTTTGTTTCTCTCAGCTTTGCATTCAATTAAAGGTTTAATAAACTATTAGTGCTCACAACTACTTTTTTTTGTGTTTAATTTTCATGTTTTAGGGCAAGTAGCCATGTAATAAGCTTAATAAAGTACCTCCAGGATGGTTGTTTTGTCTTTCAGTTTTATCCAACAGCTGCCGAAAAACTTGCCAGGCTTTATTCTGCGATAACAACCTCCTGAATGTACTTTATCCTTATCCTAACTTGCCTATATATTGTCAGGATCCAGTTTTCTCTATGTCTAGTGTTCCATGTGCTCTTGCCATGTCATGTGATTTATTTGTTCCCTGTTTGTCTCACCATTTGTTAATGTTTTAGTTCCACCTGTGTCTCACCCCTGTTGGTAATCAGTTTAATCATGTCTTGTGTAGTTATACCCCTGAGTTAAGTTCTTATATTGTCAACCTCCTTGTTTGAATCGTCTACATCCTCATCATTCCTGTGTTCCTACAATTTTAAGTGTTTGTAAATATATTGTTGTAATATATACATTTTTGATTATCTCCATTCCTGTGTGTTTGTGGAGAGAGCACAAGCATGACATATATAATGTACATTTGAAAAAGGGGCTGTCTATGTGTATAACAGATTTGCACTGAGGTGATCTGATCATTGCAATAACTAAGAACAGCTGTGCATTGTGTTTTGCTTAAGACTAATGCATGAGGATGTGCTGTTAACATGATGCTTTCCTTCACTCTGTTCCAGACATGCCGTTGCATGTGCGCCGCAGCAGTGATCCAGCTCTGGTCGGCCTTCCAGAAGCCCAGCTGCAGCCGGAGGAACCGTCCCGTAATAACCGCACACGTTGGTCTACCACTGCAGGCTTTCTGAAGACCAACACCACCAGTGGAACCAACAGTCTAGAGCGAAAGGTGACTTTCTACCACTGTGTCATTTGATCAATACTTTTACCTTTAAAGAAATTGGCTTAAATCCTTTTTGAAAAATGAAAAAAGTTTTTGGTGTTATATCCCTAGTCAAATTTTTGAGAAGATAGGAGGTATCCATTTTTTGCTTAGATGTGATTATGATCTCAAAAAACTCCCTATTAAGTTATCAGTGTTTCATCAACAGGTTCTACTTTACTGGAAAATGATATACAAGCATAATTTAGTCCCCATAATATTCCTTTATGGAAATGTAGATATGTTATATATAGGAACAAATCTTTATTTTACGAAAACTGGAATATGGTCAGTCATGCATATGTTAGATAATACCTGAGTAATGTCTTTTGAAACGTTTAGTTCTAAATTTAATTGATTTGACAGAAAACAATATGCTAATATTATTAAAGCTATCCCACAATCTATATTTCAGATGTCTGGTAATCTATCTCAAAATAATATAACACCTTCCTCAGCTTTTGGTGGATGGAGTTTCGTTTATCGATATACACTTATCCAATACTGTAATCCAGAACGTTTTTATTAAAGAACTATATCCCTTTCATTCAAATAAACATTTATTATTTTATTATTTCTCCAAGGAAACGATTAAATTGCTTAGAACTAAATATTTAAAGTTTTCAGTAGCACCAAAAGTAAAGGAAGTCCATTTTAGAATTGTAAGTGGAGTCTATCCTTCTAAAGAATTTATGAGACGTTGATTTGGATTTGATGAAAACAATTGTTCCTTTTGTGATACTCAAATTGAAACTACTGAGCATCTTTTCTATGACTGTTAATTTGCTTGTGCCTTTTGGGAAGATTTGCATTATTGGTTATTCTCTAAGTTTGAAGATTTAAATGCTTTAACAAAAGAAAGTGTACTGTTTGGTTTATTTTTGAAAGGTGAAACACATGATTTAGCAATTAGCACCATTATTATTCTTGGGAAGTTTTTTTTACATAGTAAAGAATAGGTTCTTAAGAATTTCTCCCAAATTTTTTGTTGTTCACAAGGAACTATGTCTTTATTTTCTAACGCTTAAGCAAATGAAGAAAAAGAAGTTATCTGTGATTTAATAGAACAACTTGATTCATTTATTTTCTTGTCGGCTTAGTCCCTTTATTAATCCGGGGTCGCCACAGCGTAATGAACCGCCAACTTATCCAGCAAGTTTTTTATGCAGTGAATGCCCTTCCAGCCGCAACCCATATCTGGAAAACATCCACACACAAACTCATACACAGACAATTTAGCCTACCCAATTCACCTGTACCGCATGTCTTTGGACTGTGGGGGAAACCGGAGCACCCGGAGGAAACCCACGCAAAGGCAGAGAGAACATGCAAACTCCACACAGAAACGCCAACTGAGTCGAGATTCGAACCAGCGACCCAGCGACCTTCTTGCTGTGAGGCGAACGTGCTACCCACTGCGCCACTGCCTCGCCCTTTTTTTTTTTTTTTATCTTGTTATTATATTTTGTTTATGATGCTTGTCTGTTGTCTGATTAAGAAGATTTGTATTTTGTACCAGGCGATATATAGTTGTATTGTTTACTTTGTTTAATAAAGTTATTAAAAAATAAATAAATAAATAAAAATTTACCTTTAAAGCAATATAAAGAACTTGGGAGGTAACGGGAGGTAACGTCTGATTCTGTTTGAGTCTGAAACTGCGTAATCTTGACCGATTTCCAATCACGTGATTGGATCTGGACATCCCTCATAATAATAATAATAATAAACAAAAACACTGCACTCAAAACAACGGCAGAGTACATTTTTCATAGCAGTTGAGCAGCTGATTTATTCTGTCTGGTTTGCATTCTTCACCCTCAGTATTTTTAGTCTGACACAAATCAAAGCGTTTTACATCTGTTGCTGAATTTTTAGGGCAAGTATAAGAAGCATCTTCTCTTTCCTCGCTGTCATCCATCTTGAGAAACTCTTTGTTGTTGTGCTGGAAATCTCTCGGTTGTGGAAGCATGTGTTTTGGCTGTTGGACGAAAGGGATCTGAGCCTTTTGTTTGTTGTTTTTCTTCTTGATTTGGGCCCGGTTTCGGCGGTCAGCGCCTTTGGCTTTAAATGAATCAAAGGGAAGCACTTTCCCTCGGGCCGCCAATGAAAAAGAGGCCAATTATCTTTGCAAAATGGCTGCTCTTTTGCAGCGATGACAAGCCTTCAGTGCTGGGAAACAGCAATATTGCAAATTAAAAGCGAGGGGAAAGAGGAAAGATGGAGTACTCCGAATGTGACACCGCAACCCGCCATGAGATTAGCGCATCTCACAGCGTTCGCTAGTAATCCTGTTTAAAAGCACTTTGCTTGTCAGTTTCTTCCATAATCCAAACAGCACAGTCTCATTTTAGCACGGCGGAAGAATTAAGCTGTTATTTTTACCTTTCGTTCTGCGGCAGATCATTTATTCCTTGATTGTTGTTTTTGGGATGTGGAGAGAAAAGCTGGAGGTGTTTGGAAGGTCTGTTTTCGGGTGATACTGTCAGATGATGATTAGCAACACGGTGAATTTCAATGCACTTTATTTTAGCTGCGGTGAATTGGAGAAATGAACATAAAGGTGTTAGTTCACCTTGAAGTAAGAATAGCTGACGCTGAGGAGAATCTATTATATCTGCATCCCGCCTCTGGGCTTATATATAGAGACAACTCTCGGTCTTTGAAACTCTGAACACATTTAACAACTCCGGCATTTTAAAAATCAACTTAGGAAGAGTGGATATACGAGACAAGGAAAAGTGTGAATAAAAGTTTTAATACGCACTTTAAAATGCACAATCCAAGCATTTTTCAATTCAGCTTTATTTGTATAGCGCTTTTACAATGTAGATTGTGTCAAAGCAGCTTCACATAAAAAATCATAGTAAATTTGAAGAGTGTAGTTCAGTTTGTAGTGTTTAAGTTCAGTTCAGTTCAGTGTGGTTTAATAATCACTGCTCCCACAGTGTCCGATCCCACACCATGCAAGCCAGTGGCGACAGCGGAGAGGAAAAAAAAAACTTCACAAACTGGAAAAAGTGAAGAAAAAAAAATCTTAAGAGAAATCGTGTACTCGCTTTTTTTATTTCAAAGTCTAGATGTAATTGACATAACCTTTACAGTAAAAGCAAAATACTAAAAAAAAATCTTGAATATATTTGAGCGTACACATCAACCATTTTAAAGTCAAGATTAGAGTTTCTTAATTTTTGATTATTTAGTTAAATAAACCTAATAACTTATTAAATCTACTCGAACACACACCTACACACACTCACACAGGTTGCTTTTGTAATTTAGGAGAACTCTCTATTGGTGTAATGTGTTTATACTGTAAAAACAGCTTATTAAATGACCTTACCCCTTGACCCAACCCGGTGGCAAATATTGAATGTGGAAAAACTCACAGGTGACGCAGTGGCACAGTAGGTAGTGCTGTCGCCTCACAGCAAGAAGGTCGCTGGGTCGCTGGTTCAAGTCTCGGCTCAGTTGGCGTTTCTGTGTGGAGTTTGCATGTTCTCCCTGCATTGGCGTGGGTTTCCTCCGGGTGCTCTGGTTTCCCCCACAGTCCAAACACATGTGGTACAGGTGAATTGTGTAGGCTAAAGTGTCCGTAGTGTATGAGTGTGTGTGTGGATGTTTCCCAGAGATGGGTTGCGGCTGGAAGGACATCCGCTGCGTAAAAACTTGCTGGATAAGTTAGTGGTTCATGCCGCTGTGGCGACCCCGGATTAATAAAGGGACTAAGCCGACAAGAAAAGGAATGAATGAATGAATGAATGAATGAAAAACTCACAGTGGCTCAGTGGTTAGCACCCATAGCATAAAGGTGGCTGGTTCGAGTCCCGGCTGGGCCAATTGGCATTTCTGTGTGGAGTTTGCATGTTCTCCTCGTGTTTCCTTCAGGTGCTCCGGTTTCCCCCACAGTACAAACACATGCACTATAGGGGAACTGGATAAACTCAATGGCTGAAGTGTATGAGTGTGTGTAAATGAGTGTGTATAGGTGTTTCCCACCACTGAAAGGGCATCTGCTGCGTAAAACATATGCTGGAACCACTTCGGTTCATTCAAGCCGAAGGAAAATGCATACAAAAAATCCTTAGACTTAAGTCCTGTATAAGTCTGAAATGTCATTCCCAAAGCGGGTCTTAAATTTGACCTGGTGAAAACTGCATAAACCCTGTCTAAAAATGAGGGATGCGAGATACACACACAAACATTTATTTATATTTTTTTACTGATTTAAATTCACAAGAAAACACAGCATCACATCATTGAGCTGCTAAAATGAAATGTAAGTTGAATGCACTTCCGTTGCTTGATGTTTTTACATACTTTGTTTGGTTTTCATGGACATGTTCCTATATTGAGCGTAACATCTGTCTCTCAGTATCCCTTCCTGAACTTTCAGAAACCTGTACTGGCCTCCTGCTGGATCCATAGGCTTGCTCTGCTGCACTGTACAGCTCTCCATTCTTTTGGCCATCAGAATAAACCCTGAATCCTATGACCTTTGACCTGCTGCTCCTCATGTGTCTCTTCCTCCTCTACTTTATCCTGCTGTTTAATGTCAGGATAACCTATATAGATCATCTTACCATGCAGGAACATCAAAATGGCTCCATGCTCAACGCTGCATGGGTTCACTTTCATGTCCAATTGTTCTTTAACTGGAAACTCGTTTTCTTAGACGAGGTCTTTAGCCAAAAGCAATAGTGCTCAGTGGGCTGTCCGGGCCCCCCGCGCCACAGTATAACCTGTTTTAGGTTTGCTCTGAAAAGATTTTTCACTTGAGCTCCAGTGCTAGAGGGTGTTTGATTTCACCTTTGTGGAAAAACACGCAGCGTAACATTGGAGACACGGTGTGAATTAGTGGCTTGTAATGGAGCTTCTTATTAGCGAGAAATGAAATTAGTGTGACCTCTAAATTTAGGTGGGCTGAATGATATCATTGTGGGGCTCGAATCCAAGAAGAGCTTCTCTTGTACGCCAATGAATCTCACCTGCAGGACGGTTTCAGTAAGTTATTGCTTTGTTGGACACTATATATTATTAATGTTAATAAAACCCAGTCTGCTTTTGTGCAACAGACTTAAAGTCAGTGGGAAATCAATTTTACAGTGTTTATTTGGCTAGTTTTTAATCTTTAGGTGGGAGCTTCACAACAAAAAGGTCGCTGGTTCGAGTCCCAGCTGGGCCAGTTGGCATTTCTGTGTGGAGTTTGCATGTTCTCACCGTGTCGGCATGGGTTTCCTTCGGGTGCTCCGGTTTCCCCCACAGTCCAAACACATGCACTATAGGGGAATTGATTAAATAAATTGGCCGTAGTGTATGTGTGTGAACGAGTGTGTATAGGTGTTTCCCAGTACTGGGTTGCAGCTAGACGGGCATCCGCTGTGCATATAACGTACTGGAATAGTTGCCGGTTCATTCCGCTGTGGTGACCCTTGAGAAAAAAGGCACTAGGCCGAAGGAAAAGGAATAAAAAGTCTGTAGGTGATCAATTTACCAGTGCAGGTTAATACACTCAATTGTTATTTGCTTTGTTTTGGTATTCTTCAATCAAAGTCGGATTATCTGCTTCAGCATTTGGAGTTGTGGTCAATATTCTTAGCCACACCCCTTTTACCATTAGTTTACTATGAGGAAATGATGTGCAAACATAAAGCCCCACCCCCTACTCCATATTCTGTTTCAGTTGGAAGCACGTCAACATTCATTCATTCATTCATTCATTCATTCATTCATTTACTTTCTGCCGCTTTTCCGGGGCCGGGTCGCGGGGGCTGCAGTCTTAGAAGAGAACCTCAGACTTCCCTATCGCCAGACACTTCCTCCAGCTCCTCTGGGGGGATCCCAAGGCGTTCTCAGGCCATCCGAGAGACATAGTCCCTCTAGCATGTCCTGGGTCTTCCCCGAGGCCTCCTCCTGGTGGGACTTGCCTGGAACACCTCCATAGGTAGGCGTCCAGGAGGCATCTGAAACAGATGGGCAGCTGGGGCCCCACCCTGGAACCAGGTCTCGGGTTGGGGCTTGTATGCGAGCGCCTGGTGGCCGGGTTTTTTCCCACGAAACCCGACCGGGCTTAGCCCGAAGGGGCGATGAGTGACCATCTTCCTGCAGGGCCACCACCTGCAGGGGTAGCCGTAAGTGGCCGGTGCTTTGTGGAACGGGTGGTGGTCGAAGGTTAGGACCACAACAACCCGATTTTTGGGCACAGAAACTGGCACGTCAACATACTGAAATAAAAGTCTCCGCAACTTTTGGTTAACTCAGACATTATAGATAGAAATAGAAGTCTGATTGTTAAAGCAGTAGTGCACTTCCAGATTGATTGGTCACCATTAACTTCCTTAACTTAACACTTTGTGCTTAATTGTGAGTTGGTTAATCCATATTAGCTGCTAGTGTAGCACACTTTGGTGTCCTCAATATCACAGATGAATGAAGGCTCCTGCTCATTGAGTTACTATGGTTACTGCTGATGTTTGAGGGAAGCACATTTATTTTCAAGTGTGATCAAAACAAACTGGAACTACCTATGCATTAAACGATATTACCGCACACCTTCCAGCCAATCAGAATCAAGAATCAGATCATGGATTAATTGTTTCAGACTACAGGCAACGCGTGTTTTACAGTGTAACATGAATGTTATTTGTAAACGTGTAGGCACTTTTGTCTCATGCAACTTTGTTAAAAACATCAAAGCGTTTTTTAAACACTGTTGTGTTTTTAGGGGAAGAATCTAGAGGCGTACCGCAGTCTACCCCGTGACGTCACCCCCTGGTCTACGCAGTTTCAGAGAGAAAACGCCCGCTCTTCTCTCAGTGCCAACCATCCCATGGTAGACCGATGGCTGGAGCGCCAGGAACAGGTACTGTCTTAAACTCACACTTCGATGTTGATTAAAGTGCGGTGTAAAAATTGCAATTGTCCATCACCCAAATTGTAATTCACAGTACACTGAAGCACAAGAATATAAATAGGTTGCTAAAAAAAACTGGTCACACTTTATTTTGATGGTCCGTTAGTTGAGTTTAAGCTACATTGCATCTACATGCCAACTAACTCTCATTAGATTTTAAGTAGACTGTTAGGTTAGGGTTAGTGTAAGTTGACATGTACTTGCAACGTTTCTTATAGTCGGGTAAATGTCTGTTGAAGCAGCAGTATCAGCAGATATTAACCCCAAGGGGTCGAAGAATGTGTATACTCGTTTTGAAGCGTCTTCACCTCAAAATGCTGAAATGAACTGAAATTACACTTTCAATTTTGATCGTACAGATAAGATCAATACATCAATCGAATCTGTTAGGTGTCTAGTTTTTATTGTGTACACTCACAATGATAATTAACGTGTTTGCTTTTGCAAAATAAGGATAATAAACAGTGTAGGCATTTTTTCTTTTCTGTCTCTGCGAACTGTTTTTGGAAACGCGTCAAAAAAATGCGCTAAAACTTTGTAAAAGCAAAACATGCAGACATGACCCATATATCTATAGAAAGCTTGAAGTGTCTACTTTTAAACGTTGAAAGTGCATGTTAAAAACAAATGTTGTTTGATAAAGTAACCAGAATGAAGCCAACGCTATGTCTAGTTTCTTCATCTGAGCTCATTAGAGTTAATGTTACCATGCCCACGAGGCTTTGCCATTATAATCGCATGCACGAGACGCGCGCAACGTAGACTGTGTCAGGAAAAACACGTCATTAAAATGAACTGAAATTCAGCAAATATACAACAAAGAGGCATGAGAGATGTATCTATAGAAAGCATCATATGTTTAGTTTTGCATTAGCCAATTCAAGTCGAAAACAAATCATCTGTTTTATGTAATCCGTTTAAAAGTAAGGTTTGCTACCTGTCTGATGGCTCATTATGCAGGTCTTTGTCTTCTCAGGTGTGAATCACTTCATTAGTAATGATAGTTCACGCCCTCTCGCATAGACCTTTTTAACGCAAAAAGTGACTTAGAAATTGGATTCATTATATTGTTTTCTGTGAGCAAGTAAATAAGATGATTTTCAAATCATTTTGAAGCAAAAACAGTAGGCTACAAGATCCAGTTCTCAAATGTCTTGTGCACAAATGTTCTCTGTGTGTTTCATGGCCTTGTTTCAGTGACTTCAAAATTTACATTTTTCACTAACCTCGCATAAACGTGTCTTTCGGAAAAACACAAACACATACAAACATGCTGCCTAGGTATTATTGTAGCCCAGCTTGTGCTGTTTACAGTGTTATCACACTTTAGCCATTAGTATGTTTTTAAGATATTTAAAACAACGCAAATGTCAGTGCATGTCGGAACCTTTACCCGGCCCTTAAAACACCCTTAGACCCCTGGGGTTTAAGCAAACAGTAAACTAAAACTCGAATAGGCCATCAAAATAATGTGTTAACAAAAAACTTGTTTCATAACTTGTGTCAAGCAAGGGCTGGGCGATTTAATTGAGCTGATTTTCATGCTCATTTAGTCAGTCAAGTCGGTTCTACACTGTAATTAATTAACAGTTTCCATATTTTGTATTTTCCATGTATTTATGGTAGAGGATTGCATTATGGGATGTTGATCTTTTGCTGTTGCACCTGCTCCACGTCCATAACTGGTTTCAATTAGGCTTAGTCTCCGTGGTCAGTCCATTGCTTTCACTCTATTTGTTCACCTGAGGGAACGGAACCAACCCTGTGACGTCAGACACAGCGATTATTCCAAGATAGCGTCGAACTATTCCTAAAAAACTATACTATACTTCTTTAACTTGACCGACTGCTTCACTTCCACTTTAAGTGAAGGCCAAACTATGTATTTCCAATGAGCCAGTGTTGGACGTGGTCATATTTGTGTAGCTTTTGTTAGAGTTAAATGTTGTCGAGATTACTGAATACAACAAAAAGAAATGGGAGAATGACACCCATGTTCTTGATTGAGGATTTCTCTAATACACATTTATGTATGTTGAAGTCACATGTAGACCAGAACATGTATTTCCAATGAGCCTGTGTTGAACGTGGTCATGTTTGTGTAGCTTTGTTGTGACTTAAGAGGGGATTCAGGAGTCCAGAGACCAGTGAAAACCGCAAAATGTATTGCAAATGAGAAAAACAATGGGGGAAAGACACCCACATTCTGATGCATGCTGAAGTCAGTTTTTTGCTATTTCACCAAAATATAAGCTGAAGCACATACTGTATTTTCAATGAGCCTGTGTTGGACGTGGTCATATTTGTGCAGCTTTTATTAGAGTTAAAAGTAGATTCAGGAGTCAAGTAGAGATTACTGAATACAGCAAAAAGGATTGTCAATGAGAGAAAAATAAATGTGAAAACGACTCCCACGTTCCTGGATGAGGATTTCTCTAACACACATTTATGTATGCTGGAGTCAATGTTTGCTATTTCACCCAAATGTAGACTGAAGCATGTGTTCCCACTGAGCTTGTGTTGGACGTGGTCATATTTGTGTAGCTTTTGTTAGAGTTAAGAGTAGATTTAGGAGTCAAGTAGAGATTACTGAATGCAACAAAAAGGGTTTTTGAATGAGAGAAAAATAAATGGGAAAACGACACCCACGTTCTTGGATGAGGATTTCTCTAACCTTACAAAACGAGGGCCGCGGTCTCCACAGACATGATGCTAAGTGTCTTTGAAATGCAGCTCTTTTGTCGAGGTATCGCTGCATCTGTCTGAAGCAGAGTGGGAGGTGTTTCCAATTCCACTCTCTCTCTCTCTCTTTCTCTTTTTCTGTGATATAAAAGAAAAGAAGAGGTGAGGAAGGAGATTGAGATGTTTGAGCTGCCCGCCGTGCTGCAGGGAATTCACTTATTAATTTTCGCAATTGATTTTCCTCAAACCGGCAGCCTCCATTTTGCTTTATATAT